AGACATAGCTGGCAAAGTCTTTTGCCTTGAATTATAAGGCATTAATGCATATAAATAAACATTAATTCGGAAAGTGGAAGAGAACCAAACTGTTTTTTGTTAATATTGCATAAACGACGGGTTCAACTTGATGTGCTTGAAGTATTCAGATATTATTAATTATCCAATTAACTTTTTCAATTTGTTATTTTTATTAGAATGTGGATTTACATCTTTATAAAAAAATATTTCTATGGTTGAAGGGCAAAATGATCATTCAGCTATATACAATCATTTTAGTCTTTTAACTTTATCTTAAGGTCTTTACACTTATAATATAGTATGACGATGATTATAAATATATCTCTATTTTAAATAATTATTTTCTTGTATTACATGTATGAAATATATCCTTTAAAAGTTCTTATTCTCTTTCATTCTTAATTGTATAACTAAATTTTTGAGTTTTTGTTGTTATCAAAATTATTTATATGAATAAATTATTGTGATTTAATTTTTACTATGCTTAATTATTTTATTCAATTTTAGGTATTTAAACTCTTATTCTATAACTCAAACATAATTCAAATTAATATATTATGTGATTTAAAAAAAGTACTTTCAAGGTATACACGCAACACGCGTGTGTTAAGACTAGTTAAATAGTAGTTTGAAATATTGGGCCTTATTCTATAACTCAAACATAATTCAAATTAAAATATTATGTGATTTAAAAAGAGTACTTTCAAGGTATACACGCAACACGCGTGTGTTAAGACTAGTTAGATAGTAGTTTAAATAGAGGGATGAAGGGATTGAGTTAGTTTCAGTAGCATTTGAAATATTGGGCCAAATGTGCCATAAAATCACCAGCCCAACTATACTAAAGTTTGTAGTTTGAGACTGCAAACTATGTTTATATTTTTCTACTTTCTTAAATTGTTGAGTTATCGCGACTAAATAAAAATAAAAATATAGTTTACAGTAATACAACAAAAAAAATTATTACACGCATGCACTACAACAAAAAAAAAATATAGGTATAATAAAAAATACATTATATAAGCTTAAAAGCTTTGCTCAATTATTTGTTGCAACATTATATGCCTGAGAAGTTTTTTTTTTTATTTTGTAAATAAGTTTTTATATTTTATAGCTAAGTTCATAATCTAGAGTAAAAAAGAAAAATATTTATAATATTAAAAAGTATTTTTTTTTTAAAAAGAAACCTTACCTTGCACCAAATATACTAAGGGGTCGTTTAGTACGCGTGTGAGATTAATTAGGATCACTAATAGGATCGGAAAGTGGAGGGGGTATTAATTAGGATTTAAGAGGATTAGATTGATGTGTAATTATAGGGTCAGGGTGTATGTGAATTTATAGGCTCTAGTGATTGTATTAAACTAATGATTGGTTTTGCATAGAGGGGGAAACGCCAGCGAGGCTGTTTCTCTCAAGAAAAACTTTACCAGAAGTAGAAAGTTTACGTCTTTCCAAATTAATCAGTCTGTTGCACATACAATAATTAGAGTTCCTTGGGGAGTATGTACTGTATCACAAGTGTTGTGACTTGGGTCATTTTTACTACCATAATTGTAAGATTTAGTAGGCGTTTGGACATAAAAATTATAATCTTTTAATAAAAGTCGTATTTGGAGTTTAGTTGAAAAATAGTATTTGAAATTTGAAATTATGTTTGGACATGCATTTCATTTTTGTGTGTGGGGAAACAAAATATTTTTGAAATTTTGAATTTTTTAAAAACTCATTTTCAAAAAAATTCCAAAAACTTGCATAATGTTACACGTTTTTGGAAAAAAAAATTCAAAAAAAAAGGAAAAAATATCTATGGGCAAACGGATCCTTAGGGTTGTTTGGTTTGAGTATGGCAAGAATTAATCTCAGCCCAAGATAATATAGGGTTTAGTTGAGCCGTTAGATATAAGAATAACTAATCTTTGTATAATATTTTGCATAAGACAACATACTATTTGGTTGGCGATACTAAATTATATCCGTATTAAATTATGTGAGAATTCATGTATTATTTTGTGGGAGATAGAATGTGAAAAAGAATAACTATCTAAAAATAAAAATATCTATTATTACTCACCATATAAATAATTTCTACATTGATAATATCTGCATAAACAATCTCTACATCATTAATAATTCCTACATAACTTACTTCTGATTGCTGAACCAAACGACCCGTGATGTTAGTATTAGTTATTGCTTGATGTAGCGAGTTGCCCATACATTGCTATTTTTGAAACTTAATAACAATGAAGAATATCATATCCCAAAGTCTATAAAAGCAATTCTTCTTGGATTTCTTCGTTCTATTATATATTTGTCTTGAGATATTGATGGCTAACAATTGTTTCGAAAGATTTTTCGAATTGGCTCTTGCAATTAAGCAGGCGTTAGGACACAGCAAAATTGTAATTTTTGAAGGAATTTTTTTTTTTTGAATATATTATTTTAAAATTTGAAACTATGTTTGAATATGCATTTCATCTAAAAAATGTTGCAGGTTTGTGAGTGGAGAAAAAAAATTTGGACAACTTGAAAAAGTGGTTTGGTTTTCGAAAAACTCATTTTCGAAAATCTCCAAAAACATACGAAAAAAAATCATGGACAAACGGGTCGTAAATTTATAACAACTTACGATACCTTATGTCAAAAACTTAGCTTAATACCGGCTAGTAACAAAAGTATGTATATTCAATTATATACGTTTTGAATATCTTACATTTTCCTACTTTTCTGAATGACCTTTAGGCTTACTGTGGTAGATCAAATAGCCTGATTGAACATTGAAGTGCACCATTAATTCTTTGAAAAGCCATCTGCATATTAATTCCATTAATTAGTACTTCCTCCGTTTCAATTTATATGAATCTGTTTGATTGGGCACAGAGTTTAAGAAAAAAATGAATACTTTTGGAATTTGTGGTCCTAAAAAAGTTAAAAAGGGGCCTAGAGTATTTATGTGGTTATAAAAGCTTCTCATTAAGGGTAGAATTGTAAGTTTAAGCTAAATTGTTTTCAAATTTAGAACGCGGTCATTTTTCCAAATAGGTTCACATAAAGTGGAACCGGAAAAATAGTAGATTTTTAAGTTTCCTTGCAACTCTATAGTTTCCTGAACTCTTTCGTTTCTATCTTAGCAAAAACAAAAAAGAACACCTTTTTTTCTACAGAAACTACATCTCCTTAATTGACAGCCATGAAAAAATTCCCTCCAAAGAAACCTCATTTTTTCAAACCAATTCTGCTTGGTTTCAAGAATAGCCTTGTGAGTTATTATACTTTTAATTGTTTCATTTTTCTATATATTATCTTCTACATGTATGGTAAATAAGGAGGGGGAATGTGAGAGACCTTGTAATAGTATATTGCCACATCCTAAAAAAAAAAAGTATGAATCATACTTTGTGACATGGCTATTTCAAGTGCAAGTGTCAGAGAATATGCAAATCATTGCTGACTGCCAAAATCGAGTATATATTGGAGGCGGTTGGCGTCAATTCACTGCTGATAATCGTTTAAAGGAGGGAGATCGTATTATGTTTGAGGTTGTTACTGATGAAAGTACATCAATATGGAAATTTCAACTTGTTAGTGATGCAGAAACTCCAGCGGAGAAGTCTCAAGGTAAGTTTCCCATCTTATAATCAGCCTCTTATTTTGATGATCTTTCTCATTATCATATGCGCCACTATGTATGGTGCGTCTTAACCTGCATATCACAAGTTATGCTCTCACCACTAGATCAAAACTCTAGGGCAGAAGGCTTGTTATTTTAAAATTATCTATCTGTATAATTTAATTAGAATCTAGTCAAGTTTTAATTCAAACTATTGAACTCTATTTTCAAATCATATTATCTTATAATTAATCATTTCCTTTCAACATGATTTGGAACAACAACATTAGGAAAAAGCCCTCAAACGTGAGTCCTCTCAATTTAATTTGAGTTAGGCCCAAGCGTCATATCTTTACAGGCTAAAAGAAGCATATGTGCACCATTTTTATTATTTTTTTCTCTTTAGTTTTTTTGGTTATATATTCGAAGAAAAAGAGACTATTTAATCATGTTTGCAAATGGCTATACACCATGTCAGTTCCTTCCTCAACAATTTGCAAAAGCAAATGGTCTCACAAACAAGAAATGCGATTTGATTATAAGAGATGGAAGACAAAGGTCGTGGAATTTAAAGCTAAGTTCTAGTCGTAGACCTCGAGTCTATATAATTGGAGATGGATTGCGTAAATTCATTGTTGATAATTACTTAAAGGAGGGAGATCGTATAATGTTTGAGGTTGTTACTAATGGAGAAATACCAATATGGAAATTTCAAGTTACTCCAATCAGGGAGTTTCAAGGCAAGTTTCTCATCTTATAACCAGCCCCCTCTTATTTCTTTGTTAATCTCTTTTATTGTCACATGCACTTCCATATTCTGTATGTGTAGAATCCCTTCTTTTTTTTTTTGGTTGTTTAAATTGTGTGTTAAGTTATACATTTTTCACTTAATAGAATCTAGTCAAGTTCAAATTCAAACTATTTAAATTTATTTTCATATCATATTCTGTTCTAATTATTCATTTCATTTCAACACGATTAATTAATTTGGAACAACAGACATTAGGAAAAAGCCCTCAAACATGAGTCCTCTCAATGCAAAAGTATCTACTTCAACTTCTGGTGATGGTCATGATCTTCATCTTCCTTATTTTATTTCAAACATTAAACCTTATTGCACCAAGAAGTCAGTTTTGGTAAGTGCATGCTATGAACTTATTTTAGTTATATTCCATTTCTTTGCCTTTTTTGTTTTTGTGATCACAACTGATCAAACTTGTTATACATACACTACAAAAAAACGCTGAAATTTTGGCGGGTTTTTAACGGCGGTTACAAGCAACAGCCATAATACACAATATATTACGGCAATTTCCAAGGCGCCACATTATTCATCTACAAAACGGCGGATTATATTAAAAGACGTTGATTGAAACCGCCACTCTGTTTATACACTCTGTATTTATCTACTCTCACAATTTAGAACATTCCGCCCCAGACCCCCTTCCTCCAACTCTCTCTCTTCCCATAAACCCTATTTTATCCAATCTACCTCTTTCCCTCTCCCTTACACCAATCCCAAATCACCATAGCCGACGAGTCCCTCTCCTCTACTAAACTCTCATTTCCTTCTCCTCTTCTCGCCGGATCTTCGATGAAGCTGGCAAGGACTTCGCTAATCTCCATTGTGCCTTTTATATATGTGGATCAAGTCTACCCAGGTATCTCTATTTTTAGCTCCTTTATTATGTACATAGTTATTTATGTTGGATCTGTGCTTTATTTTGGAGATCTTAAATATCTGGTGATGTTAGGAACGATTTTTTTTGTAACTGAAATTTTCTAGACTTGTTTTTTGGTTTGGTTAGAACTTGTCTGTCAGTTTAGGGTTGAGAGAAGTGATAATCCTTTCAATGTGTCTAAGTTGAACGCGATGTTGTTGATTTCGATTGAAATAAGCAAAAAGAGGTTGTGAGAAGAAAAAGGTGCAAACAACAAAATTTAAGCTTTGATTATCTACGATACTTGTCTAAAATAATTAGCCTTAATTTAGAATGTGAAAGGTGAGAACTTGTGTGTTGCTCAGAGGGATTCAATTCTATTAATTCTGCAAGATGAAAAGTAAAAGTAATTACTTAGTGTTTGGATTTGGCACTTCTTTTTAGATTGGCCGCTAGAAGCTTGAATTTGACACTTCTTTAATATGGATTATTGATAGCATTTCTATTATTGGGAATTTGACAAAGCCTCGGGGGAGAAGAACTAAAACTTATTAGACACTGGCCACGCCCCACGGAAATGGTGCTATTTACAAAACAGGTCGATAATTCTCACAGTAAATATTTACCAAGGACTTAAATTTTTGAACTTTAAAGAGGAAAAACAATGAAAAGTGAATATCTTGTGATCGTGCAATTGTATAATATAGATGTACTATTACACGTTCACACAAGGACATAAATTCCTTTTCTAGATGATATGTATATGGTATTGAAAAGGAACAAAAGGGCGTGCGAAATTTGAAGGAACATAACAGCATGAAAAACTTGAGAAACTAAGGATGTGTTTTATATGGAGAACAAGAATATCGTTTTACTTATATGTTTAATAATGATAACGAACTTCGATAACAATATCTTTAAATGTTGATTATAGTTTTGTGATATGAAGTTTAGACTATCCGACTGCATAAATTATCCTTCACATGTGATTAAGAATATAAAAAGGTAGTTTTATAGTTTTGCATTCTCTTTACATGAGCGTCACTCCAGTGAGCGTCAATCATCTATTGAAACACCTTCTAGCCGATAGTGTATTTCGTGAACGGCAAGTTAGAAAAATCTCAGACTTATAAATCAACTCATCTTCGATCCAAATTTTCAGAAGAAATGTCAGTTGCACAAACTTGTATGGCTGTTGCTGACATCATGAAGGATTTTGGTCACATGGCTGTTGAGCCCTGTAAGTGTGCACATTTTGGTTCCTTTAATTCTCCAGGCATTAAAAAGAAATTCAGGATTAATGAACTCGCTTTCCCCCGTCTTTGTAGATATCACTCAGCTTGTTGAGGCCACTTCAGTTCTATTACGTGAACAGTCTGCTTCCCAGCTCATAGAATCAGATAGTGAGGCTGATGACGACGATACTGAACATGACGAAGGGCTAATGGATGTTGTTTCTGATCTCCTCCCTGCATTTTCAAAGGCCATGGGTTCCCATTTTGCCCCCATCTTTTCAACGTTGTTCAATTCTTTGATGAAATTTACAGTAAGTTTTGGATACTGCCCTATACAATTTTTTTTGGGTCATAAGCCTTCAAACTCTCATCTTTTCTTTTCCTATCCTTTGGATTAGAGATTAGCTTTAGTCGCAGTGTTTAATGTCATAGCCCATGCAATTGCAGAAAGCATCACGCCCACCGCAAGATCAGACCATGGTCGTTGCAACCCTTGTAGATGTTGCTCAACACATGGGTGCTCCAATTGGTGGCTATATTGATGTAAAATTCTACAAAAACTAGTTAATTGGTTCTTTTGTTCTAACTCTCCAATACAGACCCGCACACACTTTCGATAGTTCTGCAACTGAATTGGAGAATACTAATAATGTTTCAGGCTTTGATGTCCCTGGTTCTTAAAGAATTAGCATCAGCAGATGCTACAAACCGAAGGAATGCATCATTTTGTGTTGGCGAGTTTTGCAAAAAATGGTGGTGATGCTGCTTTGAAGTATGCTTTCATATGCACACCTTGTTTATCTATCTCCTTCTATTCCTAAGAAGTGTTCTGAGTTTGTGGGGTTGTATCCACTGATTTATTTACCATCTGCCTTCTTCGTTGGTACATCATATATCTGATTTATTCATTTTATTCTAGATTCTAGATATTATGGGGATGCCTTACGGGGTCTTTACCCATTATTTGGCGAATTTGAGCTAGATAATCTGGTGAGAGACAACTCTGCTTGTGCGGTGGCAATGATGATAATGGTCCATCCAGAGACAATCCCACTGAAGTCAAGGCTAATGTTGGAAGAGCATTTTCTCACCTAATTTCAGTTTATGGTCAACAAATGCAGCAGCTTCTTTTGAGTAATATTTCACCTGCACATGCTAATTTCTAATCCGATGGTCAAAGTACAGAAAATTGACATGCATTTTGCAGGTGTAATGAACTTGATATCTCTCTAGCTTGTAGATAAGGTTGCGGATGCAGCTCAAGCACTTTGAACACAGCAAGTCTGCGCATTCTCTTGCGGAGGCTTCACGAGTCTCGTTTGTATTTGTGCTCCAAGGTAAATACGTTCTCTTTCCTCTTTTGTGTCTTCCTTTTTAGTTGTTTGTGTCATGCGTACTCTTCTTAATCTTAAGTATGCATGTATTTGTCCAATTGATGTGTAATACTCCTCTTAATCTTAAGTACTCCTCTGTTGCACCAACAATTTGTTAGTAATGTGATAATCTAGTCATTATTTACATTGAAGAAATTGAATGTTGGATTAGATCAAAATGGTTTAAGCAAGCAGTTGATTGGCTCTATACATACTGATGTTCCTCCTTTCGTGAAGAAGATTATGATTGTATCTTGATCCATTTGAGTTACTTATTGCTTGTTGTTTCAGTTTATTTTGTAGGTACTGGATAATAGCAAAATCCTAGACTTGTTCTTTGTCAACAACCCAAGAAGAACACCAGATCGAAACAACAAAGAACAAGTCTAGGATTTTGCAGAATAATTTTCCTCATGGAATGTAAAATATTACTCCTTGAAATTTAGTTACTAGATTTTATGATGTAATTTTGAATTGCTTAATTCTTTTTATATATGATGAATAATTTCTTTACCAAATCTTCCTCTTATATATGTGTCAAAACTATTATAAAGTAAAATACAAGTCTGATTGTAGGGGGACAGTGTGTAAAATGGAATGCAAGAAATGTGAAAAAGAATTAAAAATTATGGAGAAAATGCTGGGCCCTACAAGGATAATTACGGCGGTTTAGGACCGCCATAGATATTTAGTTTGTGAATTATCAAATTTTGTAATTATGGCAGTTTCAGACAGCCACTTTAAGCAGTACAAAACCGCCATTTTATGCAATATACAGTTTTGGCGGTTTTCGAAAAACCGCCAGATTACCTTTTTGGCGCACTCAATTTCGGCGTTTTCATAAATCGCCATTATTGGTGATAGTGGCGGTTTCAAACCGCCGTAATACGCAAACAAAACCGCCGCAAATGCCCTGGTTTTTTGTAGTGATAATGGAATGAATGGTGTTGTAGTATCTTCCACTGGATTTTGTAAAGTCAAATGGATTGATGGATAGAAAGTGTGAATTGATTTTGAAAAATAAAGAACATAGATCTTGGTCAGTGTGGCCAGGGAGAGAAGGACATCATTTTGGAAATTTAAGTGGATGGTCAAAATTCAGAACAGCAAATGGTCTCAAAGTAGGAGATGCTTTCAAGTTTGAATTCATCCAGAATGGAGAAATACCTATAGCTCACTTCCATGGTAAGTGTGTTCTTTCGCTTCTAATAATATAGATCTTGAGTATAAGTTTTATGCACTGACGAAATAAAAAAATATTTATATAATTTTGTCACTTATAAAGTAACTACAAATAAGCCCCCTCAGTTTTACGGTTTCTATGTATCATTTCTCATAATTGTGTTATTATTATTGCAGATGGTTATTTTAAAAGGTATTTACATGTTTGTTATACTTTGAAATCGTATGAAATTAATAAGGATGTCATATTGAACACATTATAATGAGGCTCTCTAGCATACACTTTTGTTAGTATTTTAGCATTTTATTATTAAAATAAAATATGTCATAACTCCCAATACTCCATGATGGAAAAAATGGTCATAACTCCGATAAATTTCACTACTCCTTGATGTAGAAAATGGCCATAACTCTTTTGTAACTGTTCTCTCATGTTCTACCGCTATTTACACACTAATTATCCCATGTTCTCCATGATTTCATAAGTTATTACCCCACTTTCTTCCAATTTAATCCAAGGAAGAATCCCTACACCTATAAATATGAGTCTTTCTTTCATAATGTGGTGTGTAAAGATAATTGTAGAGTGTTTAAAAAAAGTGAGGTTAAAGTTGTAAAAAAAGAAGAAGAGGGTTTTTACTTTGTTGAAGGAAGGTATCTTGGTGGAGCTTTGGACTCAACAACTTGTCCAGAGTTTGTTCAAGTCATACGACGTGATCGGGCTGTTGTATCCTGGGGGAGACAAGTCAAGAGGATTACTGGTGGACCAATGAAGACTTTGTTGCAATGGACTTGAATCATTTTAAAGAGAGCGAGATATTCACGCCTCAGCCTGAAGATATTTTATTTTCTTCATTTTATTTTTTAACTGTAATTGTAATTTCACCATCAATTTTAAGGAGATTTATCATGGCTACAGTTGAAAAATCCGCGAATATCAAGGTGGGAGATCTCAACAAGCCATTCCGTTTCAACGGTACTCATTTCAAGAGATGGAACGGTAAAGTATTTTTTTATTTGAGTCTTCTCAATGTCTATTACGTTTTAACTGAGAAGAATCCAAGCAAAGTAGACAACTCTTCCATGAATGATGATGAGCTAATTGCCCTTCAAGAAAAAAGTGAAAATATGACGATGATTCATATAACTGTCGGTATTATCTTCTTAATTGTCTATCTGATAATTTTTATGATTATTATGATAGAACTTACTCTACTGCAAAGAAAATTTGGAAAGCATTGCGGAGTAAGTATGATACCGAGGGGGCAGGTGCGAAAAAATATGTTGCTAGCAGATTTTTTCGTTTTCAAATGGTGGACAACAAATCTGTAGTAGACCAAGCTCAAGACTTCATTATGATCGTTCGAGAGCTCAGGTCTGAAGATATTAAAATTGGAGACAATCTTATTGTTTGTGGCATAATAGATAAACTTTCACCTTCATGGAAGGAATTTCAAAAAACTATGCGTCACAAACAAAAGGAAACTTCACTTGGGATGTTGATAATGCGGATTCGAATGGAAGAAGAGGCAAGAGGCCAAGATGCACTTATGCAATCGGAAGAGATCACTCTACAACCCGTCACTACAAAGGGTTTAATTACTTCAAATAATATTACTCTTGAAACTCACAAAAATTCTTCTTTGAAGTCGAAGAAGAAGACTTTTAAGAAAAATTACGGTAGACCTCCCAAGAAGAATAATGGTACAAATAACGAAGCACAGAATCAACAATTTCAAATAGTGAAACCATGTTTTGTCTGTGGCAAGAGTGGGCATATTGCTCAATTTTGCAAATTTCAGAAACGTGGTCGTACACCACAGACAAACGTCACCGAAGAGCCACTTGTGGCGGTGATAACAAATATTAACATGGTAGAAAATGTTGATGGTTGGTGGGCTGATTCTAGAGCAAACCATCATGTTTGCTATGATATAGAATGATTTAAAGTATATACTCCATTTGAGGAGCCCAAAACCATCATGTTTGGTAATTCTCACACAACCCAGGTGCTTGAAAGGGAGAGGTCGAGTTGAAGTTTACTTCAGGAAGAGTATTAACGTTGAAAGATGTACTTTATACTCATTCAATGAGAAAATATTTGATGTCTAGTTCTTCTTTACAAGGCAGGCTTCAAACAAATTATTAAGAGTGATCAATATGTAATATTGAAAAAGGGTATTTTTGTGGTTAAGGGATATGCATGTGTCACAACCCAAATCAACCGTCGTGATGACGCCTATCATGGAACTAGGTCAGCCTTAACTCATCAACTCAACAGTAAATTAACTTTAAAATCATGATGGAAGCAATTAACATTTAAGAAATCCTTTTGAAAACATAATAAATCCCAAAGTACGATACAATCTAGCCCAAAATCGGGGTGTCACTAAGTACATGAGCGTCTAAATCAGAATATAGTCCACTACAATGTCTAGAGAAATAAACTGGAATACGACAATGATAAAGAATGAGGGTCAAGGCCTGTGAATGCCGTGCAACTACCTTGATAGTCTCCAAGCTCTGGAACCTCAATCAGCAACCGCCGCTACGATCGGTATCGCCTGGATCTGACACAAGGTGCAAGGAGTAACATGAGTACACCAACTCAGTAAGTAACGAGTCCAAACTTTGGATTGAAAGGTAGTGACGAACTCAACCGTTACAAATAACAATAGGAATAACTAAACATAACTGTAGGCATGCTTTCAATTTAATAGGCAGTTCAAAACAGTAAAGTGGAGCATATACGAACAGTGTAAAGAATATAGTTCTGCTACCTCTACATGCCAATGCACATGTTGTATGTGATGTACCACGCTGTCAGCCTCAGGTGCTCACACTCTCAAATACTCAACAACTCGGTACTATATATGGCTCATACGGCCTAGGAAAGATCCATCCCGGAATATATACATACATCACTGACAATATTTACTCAGTACCGAGGAAAAAGGGCAATCCAGCCCTGTGGAGAAGATCCATCTCCAGGTATCAATTATTTCGGACAAGAACCATGTCCATGGAAGATCCATCCCTTAATAATATCATCTGCGTTCATTGGGGTGTGTTACAGACTCCGGAGGGGCTCCTGCAGCCTAAGCGCTATCACAAATCAATATAACCGCTGCGGCATGCAGCCCGATCCCATAATTGTCACTCATAATCAGGCTCTCAGCCTCACTTAGTCATCAATCTCTCCAATCTCACCCACGGGCTCACAATGTCATGGAAGCTAACCTAGAACAATGATATGATGTATCAATAAATAACAACTGAGACTGGAATATGATATAAAAATGCATGAATATGACTGAGTACAGAATATTAATGAAATCAATGAGATGACAGCAAGAAACGACCACTAGGGGTTTCAACAGTATCGGCATAAAGCCTAACATGATATATATCATGATTGACAGCTCAACTGCTTTATCACATGATAAAAACACGGATATCAACAAGATAGAGTCACTATACGGTGCCATGGAGTCAACCAGGTCACAATTCTCACGGTGCACGCCCGTCACTTGGCATGTGCATCACCTAAATACCAGTCATGTAACATATAATTTGGGGTTTCGAACCCTCAGAACCAAGTTTGAAAGCGTTACCTCAAACCGAGCAAAATCCTACTCCGCAATGCCTTTGCCTATCAAATCGGCCTCCAAACGCCCCGACTCTAGCCACAAGTAGTACAACACAATCAATAAAGGCTAAAGGGGTCAATTCTACAAGAGAGCTACTAAATTATAGCCAAAATCCGAAATCGACTCAAACCCGGCCCCCGGGCCCACGTTACAAAATCCAATAAAAGTCAAAAAACCCGAAAGCCCATTCACTCAAGAGTTTAACCCTACTAAATTCATCTAAATATGACATCATTTGCCCCTCCAAATCCCAAAATTTCACCTCAAAAACTCACCAACTAGGTGTAAAATCAGTGGGGAAACACCATTATTGAAGATAAATAGGCACAAGGAACTTACCTCGGTGATTGCTTCGAAATCCCTCTCAAAATTCCCAAAATCCGAGCTCAAAAATGATGAAAATGGTGAAAAATCTCGAAGTGTTCTATTTATAGTTTCTGTCCAGCAAAACCGCACCTGCGGCCTCTTTGTCGCTTCTGCGATGCCGCACCTGTGGAAATTCCATTGCATGTGCGGATTCCAATTAGGATCCCAGACTCTGCTCCTACGGCTTCAAGACCGCATCTGCGCCTATCGCAGGTGTGGAAATACATCGCATCTCTGCTCAGCCTTTCGCTTCTGCGACCCTCGCAGGTGCGGGAAAGTCTTCGCACTTGCGGCTCCTTCTTGGCCGCATCTGCA